GTATTTTTATGTCTCATACTTTAGAGATAAACTGAAAAATATGTTATATTCATAAGACCAAATAAATTGTGTTTAATGAATCTGTGTGTGTGAGAGAGAGAGAGAGACAGAGAGATTGAGAGAGAGAAAGAGACACTAACCCATTGCCTTCAAAGTGGAACCAACTCTAGCTGACCCTCTAGTTGGTTTTCAGAGACCATAAATTGCACAGGAGAAGAGTACTTATCTTTCTCCCATGGAGCAGCTGATGAATTTACAGTCACAAAAGGGTTACCTAAAGGTAGCAGAGCAACCCTATGGACTAAACTACCAAAGTTCTTTATATAATTATTGTGTACCAAGGAGTCAGAATCGACCCACAGCTGACCCTCTGGCATGTTTTCAAAGGCAGTTGATAGAACAGGAGGAGATTGTCCATACTTCTCCTGCAGGACATCTGGTGTATGCCTTAGGGATTGTAGTGCAGTTATTTGCCACTAGGCCACCAGAGTTCTCTCTATATATAATTTCTTTTTTTTTTAATTTACATGTATTTTTGCGTGAGAGAGAGAGAGTGTGTGTGTGTGTGTGTGTGTGTGTGCGCACACGCGCGCGCGAGAACACTCATGTATGTTTGTATATTGGTAACTATATATCCGTTGGTAACTCTATATATATAATTTAACTGAGAATTTAGAACTAGAAATAATCAGGTTTTATAATTTTTTGAGATCCAAGCTTACACAGCCACATTCAACAGAAGAAAACACTGAAACAAAGTTAGGATAATTTATACAAGGTTGTATATTGTAAAGAAGCAAGGTTTTCTAAGACCAGAGTCCATGATCTTTATATCCTAATGATTGTAATGATTGACTGCATTTACCCAAGTTTATACTCCTGGAAATAGCCTTAGGAACCTAGAGTTGTCATCACAGGAGAACTTTGCAAGGCCATTCTGAACCTAAATTTTCTCAAGAAATTAAAGTCAAATAATACTGTATCAGGGACAATTGGAGAGGATCCAAACTTGTACCTATTGTTGTGTCATTGTTATGTGCACATTGTCGAGTCCCTTGCGATCCATAGCAACCCTATGTACAGAAGGTCTGAACCCTGACCTTTCCTGAGCCAGTCTCTCTAATTCGGACACACCAGGCTCCATTGCCCCAGTCACTTTATCAAACCTCCTCAAGGGTCTCCCTCTCCTGCTCTGTTCATCCACCCTTCTGAGCATGATGTCCATCTCTGGGGGCCAATTTGTCATGGCTACATTCCCAAAGTAAGTGAAGCAGAGGTTCCAAATCCTAGTCTCCAAGGAGAAACTTGTGTTCACCTTCTCCAAAACAGACCTATTTGTTTTCTTGACAGTCCATGGTAGGTTCAAGACTCTTCTCCAACACAACTTGAAAGTATCGATTCTTCTTCTGTCATCCTTAGTAATTCTCCAACTCTTTGAAGTGTCAATCTTTGTCTTCTTAATATTAAGCTTTACTCTATATTGAAGACTACAGTTCTTGACCTTCTGCAGCAAGTGCTTCCGATCTTCTTCAGTAGCATCAAGCAAGGTTGTGTCATCTGAATAATATAGGTTGCTGATGAGTCAACCTCCAATCCTGATGTCACATTCCTCATCATAAAGCCCTGCATCTGAATGATCTGTTCTGCATATAGATTGAAAAGTTGTGGAGACAGGATGCATCCCTGATGTACTCCTTTCCTGATTTTGAACCATGCAACGTTTCCCTGCTCTCTTCTGACGACTGCTTCCTGGTCCAAGTGTAGATTTCACATAAGCACAATCAAGTGTTCTGAGATTCCCATTTTCTTCAAGGATAGCCACAATTTGTTTTGATCCACACAGCCAAATCCCTTTGCATAGTCAATAAAGCACAGATATTCCTCTGATACTCTTTGCTTTTTGCAAGATATATTTGACATTAGCAATAATGTTTCTAGTGTCACAACCTCTTCTAAACCAAGCTTGTATTTCTGGTAGTTCTCTGTTAATCTACTGTTCCAGACATTTCTAGATGATCTTCCACAGGATTTTGCTAGTGTCTGATATTAGTGATTTGTTGTTGTTGTTATGTGTCGTTGAGTCACTTGCGACTCATAGCAACCCTACGCACAAGAGCCCTAAATGCCTTTCTAACCTGTGCCAACTTCGTCGCCTCAAACACACTCATTCCCACCACTCCACTCATAGAATCGATCCATCTCATCAAGGGTCTTCCTCTCCTACACCATCCCTCCACTCTCCCAAACATGATGTCCCTCTCCAAGGACCAGTCCCTCCTTGCAACATGCCCAAAATATGTCAGATGAAGATTCAGAATCCTTGACTCCAAGGAGCATTCTGGCTTCACCTTCTCCAGGATAAACCTGTTTGTTCTCCTAGCAGTCCATGGTATATTCAACACTCTTCTCCAACACCACAGCTCAAAGG